GAAGAAAGACACGGCTACACAGGCGTATCACGGAGTCATTCATTAATCAAACTTGCGACAATGTCGTTCGCGATTAAAGATACGAATTCCGCGTAGTTGGAGGCGTCTTATCGCCCTTGTCGTTCAGAAACTACTTAAAAAAGCCGCACCGACTCAAAGCTGGCTTTCTGGCTCCAAATATATCAACCGCTGCGGACAACAATAAAAACCTCTGAAACTTCACCAACCTCTTACCTTGAAAAAGAAATGAGCCACAACGTCGGTACTGGTCAATAATTCAACTGACCGTATAATCTGTTTGCGTTGTTTATTAATTAACCGTGTTTTATACTGCTTTTCATTATGACTAAGAGACATGAATATTCAAAAGACCATGCACAGAACGAAAGAAAATGAAGGGGAGAGTGTTGTCTTGTTCTATTTACCACTCTGTGGGAAGGAAACACGAGATTACACGCTACGCTTGCCACGTGGCTGTACAATCTGTGTTTCAAAAAAACAAGGCACACTGGGTTGATGGCATAAAAAAGGAGATCAACACTGCACCATCAACTTCATGCGGAGAGGGGGAAGGTTTTAAAATGGTTCAATCATGAAAATGAAGGAAAACTGGCAACAATGTCAAGTGATTCAACGATAAAATTTGTGAAAATTAATTATTAAATTCAAGAATCCTCACAATTCAATGACTGGAGGTACAAGACGAATGCGCCGATGTCACGCAAAACAGAGACGCGTATGCTTTCGGGAATAATTTTAGTGATTCTCATATCCTTAACTGACAGAAATTCATCAGTTGCCGAAAGTGAGGGTCCTATTCAATAAAACTTGAGAGAATAGGGTGAATCAAGACGAAGACTCAGTAGAATCCAACATCCGCTCTGAAATTTACTGATATTTTGCCTGCCACAAACCACTCAGCTATCATATCACCAACTCTGTAACCCAATTATAAGCAGATGATTCAGAACAAAATACACAGATTTGTCAACGAAATCCATACTTCGGTCATATCCCGGACCGGAGTACCATCTGAGGAGCAGTATCAAGACCTTTGAAACAGATATATTCCGTTTCAATGTACTCTTAAAACAGTAACATCCAGATGATGGACAATAAAGACGCTCTGATCAGAACTAATGAAGTTTTCATAGTATAATCTCAAAGGTTAAATATCAATGCATAATTCACTAAATTCGCACTCGAAGAAGCAATGACTCACCTAATGTACTCATGACCCCACGAACTGATCGGTTCCTTAGAACCGAGCAGTCTATACTTCAAGCACTCTCGACTTCCCTCCGTGGAACATGTCATTGCAAGAGCAGAGATGATATCAGCGCAAAACTTCTAGAAAAATGTCTTTTTCTGAATAACAGTTGTGAAGAAAACAAATGGTGATCTGAAAAACACTACTACTCACCTTAACGGATGGATCGTTGATCTTCTCGAAAATCGCCTTCATTGAGTCGTAATGTAGGCGCATGTACTTCAACGGTTTCGGTACCGACGTCATGCTTGTTGTCGAAGAACGAATAATCGTTCGCAGGGTCTCCAAAGCAGCATTATACAATGATTGGTCGTCTTCCTACATTCATTCATGCGAGATGCAAGCAATTACGAAAAAGCAAACTTACCTGAAGACGCTCCATCAGCAAATTCAATTCCTCTTGCAATCGCTTGTCCTCTTCACTCTGAAATTTTACTTCTTACAACAAGAGGACATTCGCTACCTGACAAACACGCACCTCTTCTTCTTCCTTCTTCTTTCCTGCTTCGCTTTCTTTTTTATCGTCGTTCTTTCCGCGTTTTCCATTTTTTTCTTTACCCTCTACCTGCTCAGAACTGGCGGCCTTTGCCGGAAGTTCAGTGATTTCGTCATCAGGTTTATTGTTCTCTTTAATTGTCATAATTTTTCACTTGTCTTCGATGGAAACAGCAAAATTTAATATACTCTAAATCATTAAAACTCAGCATATTCTGACTAAAACCAATTTGACGACGATCGGTTAACAAAACTGGTCCCAAAAAGGAAACGCAATCCGAAATGATGCAGATTAATTTGATATCATTCTAAGCATGCAAAAAGATAGATGCACAGTCCAGACGCTATTTCTACACTTCTCTTCAGCTTTTAATACAATTTCTCTACGTAAGATGCTGGAGACGCTTGCATTACCTTCTTTAAATGTCAATATCCTGGAATGGTTCAAAAGCTACTATTCATCACGATTACAGTATGCCTAAGTGAGTAACGAATCTTCATCATATCAAAGTAATAATCTTGGAATGATTCAAGGCTCAATGGTTTATCAACTAACGTTCAAACTGTACAATAACTGGTTTCACAACGAACATTCGACTATCATGGTAAAATATGCCGACGATCTAATCATCACTGCATCAATTCGAAGGATGTAGAACGAGGAAATTCACGAAAATTCTGTTCATACCGTCGAGCAAATGGCGTCCGATATCGGTCTCATCTTAAATCATTCTAAGTCAGTCGAATGCCAATTCTTGACGCCGAATACTCGGATCGTGATGCTTCACCAGATACAGGATATGAACAGTGGATCTCGCCAGAAATGGAGTGAGGACAAATACCTGGACGACATTACTCTGTCCTTAAACCCAAAATGGTGTAAACACATATCGGATATTTTCATGGAGATCAGGAAAACGTCCTGTTACGTGCGTCGTCCGATAAAGGCCAATGGACCAACAGTAGTAGAGCAAAAATGTTTACTCAGGTTTCCTGACTACACTCTCTTATGCACGTCTAATTATCTTTCCAGGCATGGGCTAAGCTGAGCTGACTATACACTGACACATCAGGAGTCGATTCTTTTGTCGCGAGATATGCTTCGAAACTATGTCGATACTGCAATCAAAGACACTGCGACTCGTCGGAAATATTTTAGATTACGCCATCTATCCACTGAATGTCTCGTCATTCAGATGTATCTCACTGCAGACTGGTACAAGATCAAGATACAGATGCATACCCAAACGTACGTGACCATACAGGAAATTATTTGTTTCATCCAAGGCGTGCTGTTTAATTAATCATATTCCGAAGAGTAGTGAACTTTTAACAAAATTAAGTTGAAAGGCTAGGTCCTATACAGCTGTTTTACGCAGTAAATTCAAATTCAATTATGTTAACTCCATAGATGCTTTACCTGTTACTAGCCATACAGAAAATCACTTTGTTTGTAACAACAAACAGTTTTGCAATACATAACACAGATTTACCCCTCTTGCAATAAATTCGCAAAAAGTTCAAGAAGCTACAGTAGCCAAAGGAAGAGAAATCGGAGTGCAATCAAAAAGTATATTTTTAATTATTATGGTAGTGCACATAGATCTTGCGATAAATGTTCAACGGCAACTAACAAAACGTAGATTAGTTTACTAATCAAGAGGAAAAATAACTAATCTCTTATCAGCAAAGACCTTTGCTTTCTCTCCGGAATATTAAATGCATTTATTCAGCATGTCGTTTGCTTTGCATGTTCCAAACTTTGAAGCGAAATGGATTTCGGTTATCGGTAAGTCTGCGGGGCAGCGAAAAATTTTCATTAAAATTCGATTGTATCGAAAACAGATTCTATGTGGCAGTGTAAATTACACTCAATGCAAATCACAGCGAATAAGAATTTCAACTAATTTCGTCCCGGTCTGAAAAGTCGGGAAATAGGTAGCATGGCTGTAACTCGAAATTTACAAGGACAGCTTGAAGACTTGATCTGTTCATTCGGGAGCATGTGAGACATACAGCCAAAGAGCTTGATTCGTGGAACTAAGAGAAATAGTTACCTCTCAGCCTATCAGGTAACAGATTGTATGATACCATATGTATTACATGTATATTTAATGTGATTACCAGCACAAACTACAGTCTGTATGCAGTACGTCTCAGTATATATTATATGCGCAGAAAGTATGATAGTGGACACAGGCTGCAATCTTATATCCAGAGTATGAAAAATATTTCGAAAAATACGATTTTCCCAGAAATTATTGAATATTCATTGCGCTACAAATCATTTTATTGAATGTTTTCCTCAAGATACGTTGAATGAATCTCGCCAAAGTCCTAAATGAGAGACAATTTAAGGTGTAATAAAATAGCTGTAAATGATAAATATAACTCCGCCATGGCCGGTCCCAAGCCCGGATGAGAAAGGAGGAGGAATCGAGACCGTGGAAAGCCTTCGTAAAATTCAGCCACCAACCACTCATGGTATTGACGCCTTCGAAAATTATACCGGCTCGGTCGTCGCCCGGGTTACCAAGGGCCGCG